AGGGTGAGTGGGGACAGGGGTGGGGCAGGGGGGACGGGGCTGGGCAGGCACTGAGGGCACTGGGCCCAGGGAGGAGCGGGCTGGGCAGAGGGGTGGAGCCGGCCCCCACCTGTGCCCTGAATGCCAGATATGTGGAGGTCTCTGGACCTCCTCAGGGTCTGCGTGCAGTTTGTGCCCATGTCTGTCTGTCTCCAGCCAGACTCTGTCTTGTTCAGGGTCCCCAGAGCCACACAGCACCTAGGACATAGTAGGCTCTTGAAATTCTGCTGAGAATGGGTCACAGTCTTTGCCTTCAAAACATCATAGCTTCCCAGGGAGACTGATGATTCCCAGTGAGAAATGCTATGTGAGCCACACGTGTAAGATTAGGCTTTCCAGCCACCACATTAAAAACACTTAAACAGGGGAAATCAACTTTAATAACGCTTTTATTTAACTCTACATCATAAGTCATTTTAATATCAACATAAAACCAACGTAAAATCTATTAATGAGATATTTTACCAAGTCTTTGATATCTGATATGTATTTTACACCCCAGTTTGGACTTGCCACATTTCAAGTGCTCAGGAGCCACCTGTGGCTAGTGGCTACCTTGCTGGACAGCGCAGGGCTCCATGGTATGCATGTGTGTGTGTGTGTTTGTATGTTTTGGCAAAGGCTCAGAGCCAAGAAACCTGGGTTCTGCGCCCCATCTTGTCCTTTGTAGTTATGGGCACCTCGACCTTAGTCTTCAGATTCATTCATCCAACAAGCCTTCACTGAGCACCTGCTCTGGTTCCGCACTTGTTCGGTGGACATTGCAAAGAGTTACAGTGTCCTGAAGGGGTCACCCCGTCCTCGAAGGACCTACATTCTTGTAGGGGAGCTAGCAGTGAAATGAGCTGGTGTGCAGAGCATGTCTGCGCTCCAACAGGATGAGGGGGCAGCTGTGCCCATGTCCAGGAGGCTTCATGGAGGAGATGACGTGGGCTGAGTGTGGAGGATGAGAANCCATGTCTGCACTCCAACAGGATGAGGGGGCAGCTGTGCCCATGTCCAGGAGGCTTCATGGAGGAGGTGACGTGGGCTGAGTGTGGAGGATGAGAAGGNAGCATGTCTGCGCTCCAACAGGATGAGGGGGCAGCTGTGCCCATGTCCAGGAGGCTTCATGGAGGAGATGACGTGGGCTGANGAGGAGGTGACGTGGGCTGAGTGTGGAGGATGAGAAGGGGCTAGAAGGGGTGGGAGAGAAGTTCCTGCACAGGATGTGATGACTCTACATGTACATTTAGAACTTCGAGTGAGGGAGCTGCTCCACTGGTCCTCTGGTGGCCTGGTGCTCCTGGAGGAGGTTCCATAGTAGTTTTAAGGAAGGGAGATCGGGGAGGGGGAGGGGGAGGTGGTCTGGGAAGGCTGCCTGAAGGGGATGCTGACCTGGGCCTTGCCAGGACAGTTTGAGAATGAGAACTGGGGCGTTAACAATGGAGGAGCTCTTCAACTCCACTCCAAGCACTTTCTATAACCACCCAACCCCTCTTACCGCAAGAAAAAAGGGGCCTCGGGCAGCTGCTAAAGGTAGGAAATGGCAGGGCCAGGATTCAAACCCAGGTTGGCCCTGCTCCAAGCCAGCTCCTCCCACCATCTATGCTGCATTCAACCTGCTAGCAAGGGCAACGTGGGCAACGTGGGCTGTGTGGGCTGCGTGGCCAGTGTCTGAGAGTGGCAGAGAGGCCTTGCAGGCTTGGGAACTGGGGGGAGGGGATGACCACGCCAGTGAGCTGCGGCACAGTCAGAGCCCCCTGGGCTGCCGTGGGAGGTGTGCAAACCCCACAGTAGGAGCAGAGGCTGGGCCCCAGCTAGCCCACTAAGGCGCCCAGGCTGACCTGCGCCAGGGAGGCTCATGACCCCAGAGTGTTTTTTACCACTTACTGCACCTGAAGCAGGCTGCTGTGTGCCCTTGAACCCTCACCACAACCCGGAGTAGGCATCAGGGCCCCGCACACTCTGGCCGGCTCTGCTCTCTGAGAAACTGACCCGCTGGTCTTGGTCTTCCTCCCTCTGCTGTGCCCCACTTGCACCGCTGTCTGTCTCTGGGCCCTCCTGCTCCCCAGGCATCTTCAAAATTGAGGACTCTGCTCAGGTGGCCCGGCTCTGGGGCATCCGGAAGAACCGCCCCGCCATGAACTACGACAAGCTGAGCCGCTCCATCCGCCAGTATTACAAGAAGGGCATCATCCGGAAGCCGGACATCTCCCAGCGCCTCGTCTACCAGTTTGTGCACCCCATCTGAGGGCTGCGGGCAGACCTCCCCTGCCGCCTGTCCCAGCCAGACCCTGAGCCAGGGCAGAGGGAGTCTGCTGGCCTCCCGAGTCCAAGGTCAGGGAGAGGAGGGCCCACCGCTCCCAGGAGTGTAAGGAGCTCTTTGCCCCACCCCCCTACTCTGGGGACCCCGATGGGGGTGCTTCCTCCTCAGGCCTGACTGTCCCAGTGCCCAGCCCACTGCAGGAGGGAGGGAGCCAAGGCTGCCAGTGTTCACAGCTCCCCAGGGAGGCACTCCCTCCACCCCAGCCTCTGATCCTGGCATTTCCAGAGCAGACCTGACAGAATGGCAATGACTTGTCCAAGGCCACTCATAGTCCAGGGCACCCTGCCATCCATGCCTGGCATGGTGCTGTGAGATTTCTGCATCCCTGAGTCGGGAAGCCAGGGTTGCCCCTGGGAATGGGTAATAAAGATACTAGAAAGCTGACATGGCCTTAGTGTCTGTGTGGTGAGTGAGTGGCACAGCCATCAATGCTCAAAGTGGTTCTGGTCACAGGGGCCTGGAGTCATCAAGGGAGGCTTCCTGGGGGAGGTGGCATTGAGCTGAGCCTAAAAGGAAAGGGATACTTGATTGGTAGAAGATGTGGGAGAGTGGCAGTGAGTCCTCAAAGCCAAGAAGAGGCTGGAATGGCCCTTGTCTCCCTCAACTCTGGTGTGAGCTGAAAGGAGGGAGGGGCTGCCCCTGACCAGGGTCTATACTTAGGACTGGAGAGAAGGCAGGGTCTTTGGCCACCCTCTTGCTCTGATGTAGATCAGGGCTTTCTGCCTGAAGTGGCCCAGAGCCCTTGTCTCTATGTGTCCAACCCCGGGGGCTCTGGGCTGGGGCAGCAGGAGTGCGCAGAGGATGGTGCTTCTGTCCCCTCGTGGATGCTAGATCTGCAGTAAACAGGGTGCAAGAGAGGTTGGCTTGTTCGAGGCGCCTCTCTCCTGAAGAGAGGGTCACAGACCTCAGCAGTGCCCTCTTTGAAGCTGTAAGCCAGACAGTGGTGGGAGAGGTGGGAGGTGTGCTGGGAAAGGGTGTGGTCAGAGGGCTTGTGTGTGCGCGCGCGCTGGGGGGATGGGACCCACTGCCCACTCTCCTGGGCAAAGCAGTTCGCTCAGCATCCTCCTGCTTCTCTATTGGTTCATGGAGCTCAGGAGTCCTGAGGGCTAACTATGTGCTTCCCTGCTGCTTTTGTCATTAAACTTCCTCCCAAATTAGGGGTTAACTCCATTTTTCAGATGGTGAAACTGAGGCTCAGAGCAGTTGACTTGCTCATGCACAGACAATCAGCAGCAGAACCAAGAACTGGACCCACCAGGACAGGGCTCTCTGTGCTTCATGGCTGGTCAGCACCCTTCGCCTCTGTAACACTAAGCTCCGGAGGACAGGCTTCCAGGAAACCAGACGGGGAGCCGGCCAGTGCTGCCCAGACCACTAAGGGTTAAATGCTGCCCTTAGCTGCCGCCTTCTGCCTTCAGCAATTTTATTGTCTTCAGAAGAAAGTTTACTCCCGGCAATGAGCAAACAGCACCTTGGCATCTGTCAGCTGGGGCTGGACCTGGAGGAGGAGGGGGCCTGCCCCAAGCCTGTGGCTCCCTGGGCCCCTGCTGTCTGCCCACCCCATGGGAGGGAGCAGACTGGGACGCTGGCCAGAACCCCACTTGGCTCTGCTGAACTGGTTTTGTCTTCATCTTGTCCAGCTCCTGCCCCCAACTCTGTCCCTGGAGCCACTTACTTCCACATCCCCAGTTGGCCCGATCTTGGGTAGGAGCCGGGAGGGAGAAGCGGAGAGGGGTTAGTGGCTAGGAATGGGGGGCTGGAGCTCCAGAAAGAGGAGCCGTGGGGAGTGGGGTGGGGCAGCTCACTGCTCTGAGGATCTGCCACGAGGCACACATCCCCTCTGCGTTCCCTCTGTGGCACACATCCACCTAGTGACACCTTGTGGGCTGGCAGCAAACTTCTGACTCCCCTTCCTCCTCCACACACCTGCCTATCAGAACCCCATCTAGCCTAGGTATCCCCTGACCCTCCTCATGCACCCCACATCCAGGGCTCCCCATCACTGCATGGAGCAGCCTGTGCACGTGAGACAAGGCAACTGCTGTCTTCATGTGAAGAGCCCTCCTTGGCTAAAGCCAGACTCTGGTCCCTGGAGGTGGATTCAGGAGAGAAAGGCTACGTCCTGGAGAACAGATTCAACCCCCACCTTGACCTTTTCTCCCTGCCCTGAGCACCCCCGAGGCTTGGGGAAAGCAGTGGGGTGAGGGGACTGTAGTCTATTTGTCTTGAATATGGGGTATGTGTCAGTGCCCTGACAGGCTGCTGGGACCAGAGAAGCCTCAGGAAGACATCTAACCAGACTGGGAAAGTGGAGGCCAGGGTGGGGGTGGCGGTGGGGATACAGCGAACTGAGAGCATAGCTGGAATTGGACCTAGGATTCCTCCCCTGCTCAGAAGAGACCCAGCTGGTGTGGAGGCTGGAGCAGGGGCTGCTGCCTGGCCAGGCCTGGGCCTGGCAGAACAGAGCTGAGAGCTGAGAGCTCCAGTGTGCCCACTCCCCTGAGAAATCCTCCTGGAGGAGCCCTACTGGGGGCGGGGGGCACAGAGAAATGCAATCAGGGGTCAGAAAGGGCACAGGGAAGTGTGGCATGGCCTGATGTCACATCACAGGGAGCCTGGGACTATGGACGACCAGGAACCACTGGCCTTAGCAATCACTTTTAGAATTTTGCTTTGAAAATTTAAATCTGTTGCCCTGGCTGGGTGGTTCAGTGGGTGGGAGTGTTGTGCTATACAACAAAAGTTGACGGTTTGATTCCCAGGCAGGGCACATACCTTGGTTGTGGGCTCGCTCTCTGGCTGCTCCGGGTGAGTACAGGAGGCAACTGACAGATGTTTCTCTCTCCCCACCCCCTTCTTCTCTAAAAATCAGTGAAAACATACCCTCGGGTAAGGATTAAAAAAAAACTGAGACCTGTTCCGGGGTCAAATTCACTCTTGACCTGTGAGTTTGGGGACCCCAAATGCCCCAGCTCTCCTGGTCAGTGCTCATCACCAGGCACCCCGGACCCTAATGGCCACTCTTGAGCCTCAGAGAGCATCCAGTGGAACTGTCCCTGCACAGACAGGACCCTGGGCCCTGGAAGGCAAAGGGGCCAGCCCTCAGTTGCCCAGCCCATTGGTGGTCAGCCAGGACAGCCCCCAGTCATCCTGGGCACTCCCTGCCCACAGACATCCCAATCACAGGCAACTCTCGAAGGCCTCAAAAGACACATGACTCAAGATGACAACGCCCAGCCAGGTTGACACAGTTCTGGATTTTATCCACAGTCATACAGTCACAACTTATATATATATATTTGTATTTATATACCTTTAAATTACACAATCATGTACAAAACAGGTGCATTGCTGAGACCACAGCACTTCTCGGAGTTTCACAAGTGTCGGACTAATGAAGTCAGGAAGCCGAGGCAGACGGCGGCAGGGCAGCCCAGCTCCAGCACAGCCAGGCTGCAGACGGTGGTTAACTCGGGATGAAACACATTACTCGCTGGGCCCCGGGGCGGGCCCTGCAGCATCGAGGGTGTAGGCAGGGGGCTACAGGAGTTGGTGGGCACGGTGAGGGGCACAGCCCCCACACTGGGTGTTGAGTGCCCTGACACCAGCACTGACAGGTGGGTCAGGACCCCGGGAGCTCAGAGGGTCTTCCAGGTGAGACCCTCTGCTCTGGGGCCTGAGGACCCTGGATTGCTCAGAAGGAATGGGGTTTTGAGTCCCTGCCCTGGAGTGGACAGCTAGAGTGTTGAGGGGGACAGCCAGGGCCACCGCTCCTCCCCAGGTGTTGGGAAGCTGCTGGCACAGAGAGGGGGAGCCCAGGCCCCAAGGTGCAGATGTGGCAGCTTCCTGACTTCCAATGGTAGGTGGTGAAGGGCAGAGGCCCCCACCCCAACTCCTGTTTGGAGGAGAGGCAGAGGGGAAGGGGGCTTTTGTTCTGGAGTTGGGAGGGCTGTTTCTGAAATCTTGCTCCAGGCTCTGAAGGGTCTAGGGCACATCTCAGGATGTGGTGGAGGCCCAGAGAGCAGTGACAAGAAAGGGGATGCTAGGGGGTAGTGTGCCTGTCCCTAAGGGTGTCATCGCCCTCATCCCCCCAACTTCCCTGGCCGTGAGGGAGGCCTGCCCCAGCTCTGTGCTCACATGGACAGGGTCAGGGCCTTGAGACTGGGGACTGTGACCTAACAGTGAGCTGTGGGAAGAAGAAGCAAAGAGCAAGAGGCTGAGGGGTGACAGAGAAGCTGGGGGATCACACTCTCTTCACCTAGAGGCCCAGGGCCAGGTCCTATGAAAGGGGGAGAGTGTCTGCAGGCCTGAGGCCCACAAGTGGCATTGCAGTGAACAAGATTCTCCTGGAACTGCAGGAAGTCCCAGGGCCTCACCACAGAGGCTCTGGGAGACTCCTCTTCCAGCCAGTCCCCCATCTCTTGGAGTCTTGTCCTGCCTTGGCCTGCTTCCCAAGCACCCCACCCCCACTGCCATGGGAGAGGCTGGTCCCTGGTAGGAAATCGTAATCCAGCACCACTTTCTTTCACCAGCCAGAGGAAACACTACTGCTCTGGGCAGACCCTTCGTCTCCTCTCACCCCAAAGTCTTTCAACTGAGACCCAGGCTTGGAGAGATGGGGAGGGGGGCTGCCAGCAGGGGGAACGTTGCTCCAGAGCTAGGGCTGTGGTTGTAGGGGAGAGGACAGGGAAGAAAGACATGGTGACTGCCCTGCTCCTGAGGGCCAGGGCTCCTCCCTCCTGCCAACCCCATGCCTCTTCTATTGGCTGCAGACTTTCCCTGGTGGTCCAAGGCTGGAAGCTCCCATGGGCCCCGTGGTGTCTCCCCAGGCAGCCAGAGAAGGAGAGAGAGGAATGAGAGGCCCCAAGGCTTGGTCTCTTGAAGGCTGTTTGAGTCCAGTGATCCTCTGGTTTCAGATGGTATTGAGGGAGG